TCTTCAAAATAGACATTTTATACGTCTTGGCTCATAGAGTAATAAGGTTTTTTTTTTAGTTGTGAATGATCTCGGTAGTGTTTTTCTGTAATGCGTGGTAGAGGTGTCCAGCAGAAGTTCGACAACATGTGGCCAATCCAAACACACTGATATCTCTTTTAAATTTCTTGTCAATCCTGGTGGCATCTTTCACCCTGCTCTTCAATAAAATAACCCAAAAGTGCGGATCCAGCATGGGGGATTTTTTTTCTTTTAAATAATTGTTGGATTTCGATATCAGAAATCTGGCTTTGGATTCCTTATCAGCTATCTCAAAAACCTATATAGGTACTAAATTTTATGCGATCGCCTCATTGAGTGCGCCATTTTGGATTTTGAAAATCTGACTTTCATCGATTTAATTCGTGTGATTCTGTGTAATTCATTGCGCGAACTTGTAGGGGTAGAGAATTTTCTAAACTTACCGCTAACCCAGGCCAATATCAGCCATTCGATGAACGTTGGTTTTGCGCCACGCTTTGTAGGCACCTCCTCCACTTGTGCGATGATGTTCTTCGTATCGCTCCAAAACCAGCCACCAATGAATGTTTCGATGCGTTGTGAAGCGAGCATCAGTAGAACTATTTGAAACAGAAAGAAATTTTCGAGTTGGTAGTATAGTGATAAGGTATTTGGAACTTACACAGAAATGTAAAGTAGGAGGCACTGTGGCATATGAATTTGATAAATGGTTTACGCATAGTCTGTCCAATACTGCAGTAGGGTGCCAGAATGTAGGCCCACGAGAAGATGGGAAACATTATGCCTGTTAGGAATACAAAAATATTTATGCGTATTTAGAAAAAGGATTTAAGGTAGGCTACAATTACTACAATTACTTAGTACCAACTTTATTATCGCAACTCACCAATTCTTATAATATCCAACGCCTGCAGAGCCATATTTTTACGCCGAAATCCCGGTAGGCCCTCATACCAAATACTGGCTAAAAGTTGTTGAACATTTGAGTGTGCCACAAACTTTTTCTGACGCAACTTTATAGCCAATTTTAAACGATTCAAATGCATACGTTCGCCATGTTCATAGATTGGACCGGTGGGATCGTGATTTAATAGGATTTCCAGTTCGTGTGAGGTGCGTGTATGATCAAGCAAAGCGGTGGCAAAGTCTTGGCATTGTTTACGCAATTCCTGATATTCATTCTGAAAGAGAAAAGTTTCATTACTCCAAAAAAAAGAAAAGAAAGGACACAATTTTGTAAGCCAGCCGATTGGTTGCGCTGCCTACGCTTCAAGGACATGGAGTTCAAAACGACCACAAATCGCTTTTTTGCTGGTAGATATTTTTCTTCTTTTCAATCAAAAGTTACGCACCTTAAATTCGTGTTCGAGGAAACTTAAACGTCTCAATTCCCAGGATAATTCAAATGCAGTTAAAATAGGATCCTTCGACGACAATGCATTGAGGCTTGGACTGGCCAGTGCACGATAGGCGTTGATGCGAGAACGTGAGTGTCGCAGTGAATCTTCTTGGCGTGATTGAACACATTCGTCACAGCCGCATCTGAAAGGAAATGCAGAGGCCTGAATGAGTACTTGGTTTTCTATGTATACTTCTACATGTAATCAAATACCTCTGCGCTTACAGAATATATGTACGATTGACCAACGATAAGATAGCACAATACAATTTACCCAGACTAATTGCATTTACCGTGGGGGTTACAGCGTAAAAAAAACTACATTTACCACAGAGAATATTTGTAAAGGTAAGGTATAATAGTAAAGATTGCATAGACATAAAAATGCCAGGAGCATTTTTACGACTGCCAGAAGACGGCACTCCGGATCACGGCTAGATGAATTCTGATGACGCCCCAACACCACCTGCACGACGAGGCCCAGATACTTTCCATTAGGTAGCATAACACAATGCTCTGCAAGCAGCTCCTAGTAGGCTGCCACAGACACGGGCACGCGAACAGACAACTGCTTGCAGAAGAGCCCTCGCCAAGACACGACGTACGAAGTCCAGAGAGAGAAGTAGGTCTCGAGTTACATAGACTCTCGACCTGTGAATGCCGTTTGGGCACACAACCACCCGACGTGAACGAAACAGAACTTTGTCTGCTTCGGGAGACGCGCACCACAATAGCCCAACTTCGCTCTGGATATTGCAACAGGCTAAACTCGTACCTGAGCAGAGTGAACGAAGATGTGCCCAACCAGTGCCCGGCATGCGGAGAGTCGCCACATGACTCACGGCACCATGACGCAATCCATGGGGACGCCATATGCTCATTTGGATTTGAGACGTAATGGTGGGCAGGACTGATTTCGAGAGAGGACTTTTCAGCTAAGGAAGATCAATACTACTTCGAAATGGTTACTGTCCGCAGTGACGTTCTTGTTGGCAGGAAATACTTCCGTTTGGTTCTCGTTCATCACCAAACCCAAGTGTTTGGCTTTTCTATTTATTTTCGAGAAGACAGAACCAACGGCGCGCTTATTGAGGTACGCCAGTCGCGCAAGTGTAGGTTCTTATAAAAATTGTATCTGGGCGGTTCAGTTCTACATATATTCTGTTATATATGAGTCCATTACCAAGTTTGAGCGGTGTGTTCGTAGAATCCTCCTCAGTGAAAAACCACAGACAGCCGAGGGGATATGAGTCTGGGTTACTGATTTATATATTTAAGGAAAGTTCTATAAGAAAACAATTTTGTGTAGGTCGGTCCTTCTGAGTGGTAGTACATACCTCTAACCACACGGCTGCGTCGGTAGCTATTTCATCTTATTAAAAGGTAATTATCTTACATAGGATATTGGTCCTACAACAGCTTACAGAAGATGATAGTACCATTTTTTTTTATTAAATAAAGTGGGACAGTTCTCTGTGTCTGCTACGTACCTTACATCATGCGGCATTGGCAGTACGGCTCCGCGATCTAATAATATTTTGATTATCTCATAGTTATCACGATGTGCCGCCAAAATAAGTGGCGTAATATCGGGTGTAAATGTTGAAGTATCCTCCGATTGGGATTCCCAGCTCTATGAATGAAAACATTCGAAATATACATATGTACATACAAACGACCCATGGTGTAATAATAACAAGGTGTTGTCAGTAACTTAACCTCACTTTTTCGGCAGGTCTATTCCGGTCACGCATTTAAAAGTACTAGAAAAGGTACTAATTATTTACTACTTTTAATCCGTTGGTGCATACTACTTCAAATTAAATGTAGAAAAATGTATAATTACAGGCTTATAAGCCTTAATATATGTTTGTATCGGCAGCTCCACACAGTTTGTACATATATTGTTACTTTAAAAAAGTAAAAGCCGTAAAATAAGACAATTTCCTATTAGACTGTAAATGATATTCTAAATAGATTAAAACACATAAATATCGATAATATAAGCGAATTCCTAATTTAACCATGCCACCACTCTATTCTAATGTATCAGTAGTTCATTTGGCTCAATATTATGACAATACAGCAAAAGTTATTTAATATAAAAAATCACCTTTCCATACTATTTTTGTGAAAGTTTTTCTCCATTGATAACCACGATATCTTTTATTTTTCTACTTTTTGAGTACAAAAATTATACAAATCCAGCAATTTTAAATATTAATATTGTTCTGAAAACACCAAGTTCTTTAAAAATTGCGATAAAACGAATTACTAAAATGGAGTATTTTAGATACTATTTCCCAACGAATAGTAGTATAAAAATTAAGATCGGCAGCACTGAAAATAAGCATGCCGATCTTGTCAAAATCACAACAAACACGTCGCTACTGACAACACCTTGTTATTATTCCACCATGCAAACGACCATGATACAAAAAAGAAGGTAGTTTCAATAAACAACTTTTGACGGATAATAAAATTTTTTGAAGTTTCATAAATTGTCAGTATTATCAACGGCCTTGCCATTTTGATAATATTAAAACAATACATCGGAGTATTTTCTTTCCCATATTTTTACCAATGTGAGAATATTTCAAATCAAAACTCACAATCAGTACTTGATATTTTTTTACTTACGTGGTTTGCCCCTCTTTTATTAAAAATATATAAAATGTAAACTGTTACATTGTAATTATTCTTTTTATTTTATAATAAAAACCATTAGTGCATTATGTTGTTATTTTTTTCATTTTATTATTTTGATATACAATTTTCGTTTCTTTAATCTTGCGATTTAAAAATCGAATTCTAAAGAATGTTCTTCCCAAATAAAATCTTTTTATAATATTTTGGTCCAAATTTACTTTTAAATGTCTCATCAGATTTTGCAAAAATTTTGGCTTTGTGGTTAGTGAATCACCATTAATTTCAACAAATTTTGAATTCAAAATTTCCAATGTATGCAAAAAACTTGAATTAGGCTTGTACAGACCGCCCTCCGATAAACAGTTAACATACGTATAATTTTGATCACTTTCTACATGCGTCCTGAAGCCTAGTTTTGTCAACCCCATTTTCGAAATTATGTAGCCGGCAAAATTTTCAAGTCCATCATATTCCACATCTTTGAGTGGACTGATGAAATCTTCTGCTTCATGCTCTTCTGCGAGGAGTTTACCTCGAGTTCTTCTTCTGCGGATATTTCAATATCGTTAAGTGGTTTGAAAACATTTACACTGAGCAACTCCTCTTCAAATTTTAACATTACTTCACTTGAAGACTCAACATTTGTTTCCGTGCTCAAAATAGTTTCGTTTCGCCCTAATAAAGTTCATGCATACATTTTAGAATCTTTATGACAACAACAATAATTTCTTTAAGTGGTTAAAAAATTACCTAGAAGGTATGATCGAAATCTGTACTTGAATTCGAGAGGTGACGGATGGTCATGCAGCCCTCCTTTCATATATGTTCAATAACTTTACTAAACTTCACTCATTTTCATACATTTTTGTTTACTTTTACAAAAAAAAAAAATATTATCTCTGGTGATCAGGTAGCATGAATTTTATGAAATGTCATAATTTTATTAAAAGTCAAATGGTTAGCAACAACAACGAATGTCATTAAATGGAACTACCTTCTTTTTTGTATCATGGTTATGGGTACCAAAAGAAAGAGCAAATTCTGTGAAATTAAAAAAATTGGATAAAAAAAATTAAAAATTATTTACATGGGTAGGTATCGAAAGTAGAGCTGAGAACTTCATCCGGATTTTTCAACTATTCGGATACACCGAATATTCGAAGACCTATATGAAAAATCCGGTTACTCTAGAAGCTAAGATAATATTCGGCTATCCGAATATCCGGATTTTTCGTTATCAAAACGATATTTTCGCTTCTACGCACAAAATTGTTTGTATACATTTTTAAATGTCCAAAATTCTAATTTGGAATTTCAAAGGCTTCTACAAACGAATTAAAACGTTCAACAAACAAATTTATGCGTATAGAAAACTTGTTTCTAAAGTGATGACAAGAAAATTGCCATTTGTTTATATTGTGACAAAACGACACAAAACAAATGGTCAACTTCGAGTCCGTCAAGAGCAAATTCACTCTATCCTGTGCATAATTGAATTCACGAATATTGTTAATCAGCTTGTTGATTTTTTTAGATATCCGAAAATACGAATATTAACCGGATCTTTGTAAATCCGTATAACCGAATCATGCACAAACGAATATTAAATAGAGATCCATACTATCCAGATTTTATTCGTGTCAAGGGATAATCCGCATGGATATCAGGACATTCGAATATGCGGATATTCTCTGCCCTAACCGAAAGTGCCCTCTAACTAAATTTTATTTGTTTAAGCTTATAAAGTTAGAAGGAAAAAATTCGAAACTGCAGTCGAGTGTAATTAGTCCTTAGGCATATACATTTTTCAAAAAATAAGCATTGCAAGATTTCAAGGTTATTCAAAGATAAGATTTTAAAAGGACGTTTTCAATAACTACTCATCCCTATGCACCAAAAAATGGTATCTGCTTTAATTCTATATTTTTCTTTTTAATTTGATACTCATACTGTTTTTCTATCTTGTATCGAATTTTTACAAGGCGAATTCATATCAGATAGTAGCTGTAGTACAAAAACTTACGTGCATTTTGTTTTTGCTTTCGGTACATAAATGTCAAATTTCAGCTATTCTTCGCTCAAGGAAGATAAGGGAAAGAAAACTCCAACACTCTCACGTTCTCACTCCCTTATAAGAAATTTTGATATTCGTGTATCAAGGCGAATCAAATCAGCTCTTCTAGCAACACCACCTTACATGAATTCGACTTGGAGTTTTTAAAAACATTTTTTGAAATAACCATATTTTTCAGATTTCAAAGTCCTTAAAAAGAAATCTGACGTCAGACAGAAAAACTAAAAACACAGTTTTACTATATTCAGCCCATGGTTCGCGAATATATTGGATTTTGGGTGTAGAAAATTGACTGTCGCATGGTGTAATCAAAGTACATACAAAATTCCTAATAGTAATTGAAATAGAGAATAACATAGTTGGTGAGGCCAATATCAACTTTTGGTCAGAGAACTGCTTCTGTACTGTAAAAGTATTCTTTCAGGGTTTCATTCCAAAATTCAGATTTTACCACTCTTTGAGTTTTCAGAGTACAAGGTAACATAAATTCAACCAAAATGAAGAAAATATGTTTATCAAAAGTATGAAAAAGCCATTACTAATTCGCGTCTCTTTTTTCTACAAATGAAATCAACTACCAAGTAAATAATTAAAAATAACACTATGTGCACATACGACTTTATGTGCTGCATTCGTCCGGTTCGTTCGTTCGGTTGTACCAGTACAGTTGCTCCAATACTATCTAGTAGAAATATACAAAACCTTGTCGTTCAATGCTGCCTCAGCCGTTGTTCCATTGGCAGTGGATATGGATTCGTTAACGGGACAGATATTCTTACTCGATGAAAACTTCTTGCGCTTCTTTTTCAAAGCGGCTATGGCAGTGAGACCTTAAGAAAAATTAAATTATTTTAAAATAAATAACACTTGTGAAATCAACTCTGCTCTTTTTTTTCTAAGTAACTGACAAAAATAACCAAAATCAAATTGTTTAATTTACCGGTTGTTGTATGAAAGAAATGCGAAGCACCGTTACCACCATTGCTGCTGACACTATTACCGCTGCCGCTATTCAAGCTGCTGCTGTGATCCTTCATGAATATGCCACCATGTGTGCCTGCGCTGTGTGTCGGCGTGTGTGCATTGGCACGATGACTGCCTGTCGTAGTCGTTTCGCCACTGCTGCTCATGTAATGCTGCGCAGAATTCTGTGCATATGTAACGCGCACTTGGCCATGAACTGGCGACGAATTGGCTGAGGAATTGCACATGGAGTCTTCCGATTTGGAGCGGCCTAGCATTTTTGAGACATTTCCCACTTTGGCGGCCTCGATGAGTGTACCTGCGATTGGAAAGAAAATAGTAAAAATATCAAAAAGAGCAAGTTCGATGGGTGCCGAGGCTGGCGCCGATTGTATCCTTCTATTCACATAATCCGCTGATGGAGTGGTAACCTCTGGAAGGGAGGTCCAGTTAATATTTTCCCGAATGGCTCGTTTATGGGTGTAAAACCGATAAGCAGGGTATACTCTGGAAGCCAAGGGCTATAAAGAGCGCTATGACCCCTTGGAGTACTTCCAAATCCGAGGGTACAGTAACATTGCAGGAAACTGCATGGCTGATGAATTGGCTCAGCAGGACAGCATTGAGTTCATCTCTCCTGACAGCAAGGCTATAGGAGCTCCTGTGGCAACCTGTGGACAGTGCTGGATAGAACCCCGTTCACAAATGCTTATGCAGCTGGCTAAGCGCCAACCATCGCTTTTATCAGGTGTCCTGATCGGGAAGTATACATTAGGAACCCTTAAGGTACGACTTGACTTCGACGAGGTGGAATCATTTCCGCATTTTTTTCTCAGCTGCCCTGCTTACACAAGATTATGGATTAAATATCTTGGCTAGAGTTCCAGCAACACTCCCGAGGAGTGAACATAAGCTGCCTGCGGAATTTTATTTTGAGCGCGCACCATTTCTCTTAACAATTTCCTAAGGATTATCCTGCTACCAGAAAAGATGTATTATGTGGTAACAAAATGGACAACATAAGAAACGTCTAAGGGAGTGCCTCGTGGGTCTGCCGCCTAGGCTAACTGCAGTCTCCCTGCTAATTTTTAAGGGTGTGGTGATATCTTTGAAGGAGAATGTTAAGTATTTAGGACTCATATTAGACAGGAAACCTAATATAGAGCAAAGAGTTAAGAAGGCTAAGTACAGTAAGTAAGTAAGAAGTACATTGGCTTTACACTTCTGTTGTCAGGCCAATACTATTCTATGTAATATTTGTATGGTGGCCAGCAACTTAAAAGGCGAGCTACCTAAAAGTAAGGTCCAAAGAACAGCATGTTTACGCATTTCAGGTGCCTTAAGAACCACTCCAAACAAAGCGCTAGAAGTGTTAACAAATTTGCCCGCAATAAACCTGGTGGGAAAATACATGGACGCCGCTGCGGCGCTCAGACTAAAAAGTATGGTGCTATGGTAAGATCGCTTAAATACTTCACACTCTGGGTAGTTGCAACCAAGAAGTTGACGACTCCGCCTTTAAACGAGCATCCCGGCAAGAAGAGAATGGCATACACCAAGGCCATGGGAAAGGAGGTAATTGAATTTTTATAGGGATAGATCCCAATATAATTATCCGCCCGAATCGCGGACCACTGCAGGAGGTGGCGGTGTTTAACATCTCTCGGACAGCCAGGCGGCCATCAAATCAATGAATGCGGCAATGCTATAATCGAAGGTTGCACAGGAATGCCTCGCAGCTCTAAACGATATCAGCATACGGCGCTGTCAGCCTCATAGGGGTCCCGGGACAAAGTGGTATTGAAGGAAATTGCAGGGCAATTCAGGGAGGGCTAGAGGAGGCACTTGTAGAATAACCAGGCTACTATGGCCACAAGTAGATAAGAAAAGGACGGAAGAGTTGCTCACACTCGCAAGAGAGAGTATTGTGATGGTCACGGCTTGTGTAACCGGCCGTTGACTATTTGGCAGGCACTCTTCAAGACTAAGAATATTCTTGCACGAGTATTGCAAAAGTTGCAGAGATGAGGAACAGCGTAGAGCACTTCTTCTTCAGTGGCCCAGCTTTGGCCAAGAGCATAGCACTTTTTAGCTTTCTTACGGAACTAACCGGTGTAGGAACAAAACCAGTCCTACGCTTTACAAGAGCTTCAAGATGGTTCCATGAAGAATAGTCACTGAGGTTCCCGTGTTTCGCAGTGATATAACAATGGACCTGCAAGGTCTAAGTGAGTTAGTTATTGGAACCGACTGCCACATCAACCTAACCTAAATGGCAACTTACGCTTATGTTTTTTCCTTTCACCAAACATCAATTTTTCGACTATTGAATTCCAAAAACCCAATGATGAAGTTTTAAGGAGAAATGTCTGAATAAGTAAAATCCACAAATGCTCCGTCTATCACCGATCGCTGAACAAACTTATACATTTTCTGACAAAGGTCAGCGACCTGCCTGGCGGTCTTTCCTTGGGGCTTTCCGAATTAAATACGTTGGGCTGAACATCATTCTCAGAGAGATATTCCTTATTGGCTGATGCCGTTTGAACTCATACCAGTACATCAAAAGCCATCCCGTTGATCCTTATGCACAGCGGTCTAAAATGAAGTTCATCGCAAATCAACATCTTCATGGATCTTGACCCATAAATGTAGCCATCGATACCATGTGAAAGTGTCCTGCGTAGTACTAATTAATTCTCCATATGCATACTCAAACCTCATAAAAATAAAATAGCCCACTTTCTGGGCTTACCATTGCATTGGATTGACGAAAAGCTTAATGGACTCAGTGAACTAATCTGCTGCAGCGGAACATGTCTTCTCATACCAACTGCATTGGGTATTTTCCCAAAATTAATAGGTGTCGAAATGCCTTCCAACAAATCCAGTAGTCAGCTGCCTTAAGGGAATCCTTGTGAAACTAAGAGAACCTACCATTCTTGAAAGAGCCAATAATGGGACAAAAGTATGTGACCAAGATCAGAGGAGGGTTTTGAAATTAAAAGAGCGATGTTTTTTTTTGAATCCTGATCCTTACGAAGAAGTTTCTTGCTCTAGACAGTGTAAGCTTTGGGACGCCAAACTTAAGCGATCTGCCTACTGTAGACAAAACAAAGTTGAATGGTGAAGCAGACCTGGTAAATATCAAAGCATCTGCACGATTCGTCCATGACTTAGAAAAAACCAGATGATATTGTGATTGAAGAACTCGAAGAACTCTCACAGACTGCTGTCTATGCGTTATATGTAGATCTCCGTAGAGACACCAACAAGATCTTGATGGGCTTCCAAAAAGTTCCTACATATCAATCCCCCTTACCGTGAAAATTTTGTAAGCAGTTAAGGCTCGATATATACATAATTAATTTAGAATGTGATTCCTCCTTGCTACTTCGCCCACTTACCCCAACGCTTCTTGTGGCCGGCAATGCGCTTATTGTGCGGTTTCAATGCCGATTTATTATATTTTGTTGTCGTTTGTATTGTGGTTGTTGTTGTCGTAGTGCCATTTGTTGGCGATTCCTTGCCGCTTGTCTGACCATTCTGTTGATTTTTGTGTATGAAATTTGAATTGAAAAGATTCGACAGTGTGTTACTGAGTATTTCATGTTGTGTATCAAAATTATCCAATGAGGTGGAGAATTCTGCTACCGGCGCCAAGGAACCGGTAGAACCAGGTGGCGCTATATTAAAGCCTTTCATTAGCCGTCGCTCCTTTTGACGGTTCTTCTTGCCACCACCACCTGTGTTAATAGAAAAAGAGCGAATGCGAAAATTAATTTGTGCACTTAAAACATTAAAAGTCTCCGCTCACCGCCTTGTCCCGCAGAAACATTGGTATCCATGCCACTATTCTTCAAAATTTCCACTAATTCGCAACGGAATGCCGATATATCCTGCTTGATTTCGTTCACGTCGTCTTCGGTGACACCCTGCGATTCGGCCTTGCGTTGCTCTACGGTCACATAGCGACGCACTAAATTGCGCATTATTTGCTGGCATGGTTAAGTAATTGAATTATTTTTCAGTAAGTCAAACTTTAATATTCTTCACTATACTATATTACCTGATATTTGAAATCGCGATCACTCGCCTGCTGCGCTTTACGCTATTTGGAAGATGAAAGGAGTATAACTGTGCTATTTTTCTCACAATTTTAAATGTGTAAGTATTAGTCACTCACCCGTATTGTCTTTAAATGCTCACGTCTGGCAGCCGAAGAGCCACTACAGAATACTCTGCGCGCCCACTTGAACACATACCATATGGATTTCGGTGTTGGTATAATATTGAATGGTGGTGGACAGGTGCCACCTTCCTCAAAGTAACTTATCCACAATTTGGAGCGCGCAAATTTCCATTCAACATCAGCACGCTCCTGAAAATTTAAGTAACAGCAATGTGTGAATCGGAGTGGAAGCTCGGTTTGCTTAAGAGTAAAAAGTACAAATCAGTTATACTGAGGGTTTTACAGGACACATTGAGACACAACTACGCATCGTTTTAGTACCATAAACCACGCGCGGGTTCTAACCGGGCAATACCCAGTTAGAGTCGCTACTAACCGCGCATTTTAAGGTCTGGGTTTTCCGAATAGGTCGCTCTGATTTGGGTTTAGATACCACTGCAGATTGAGGGCATTGTGGAACCCTCTTTCACTAACTCACAAGCATTCTCATTTCCGGCAATATCGCGATGACCAAATTAAGTCTACTTCAAACTAAAGACATTGTGCGAAAATTTTATGAAAGTATACATATCCAGTAATAAAACAGCGTCGAAGGCTATATATACAGATGGTTCCAAGCTTAATAAAAGAGTGGGTAGCGGGATTTACTCTTTCCACATCGCGCTAAACCTCAGTTTTCGCTTACCGGACCATTGTATCGTTTTTCAAGCAGAGCTAAACGCCATAATGGAGGCCGCTTGGAGCCTCATAACCTCCACCCCTCCATGACGGCCTATCGCTATTTATTGTGACAGTCAGGCTGCTTTCAAATCTCTTAAATCTAACAGAATAACGTCCCAAGTAGTCATATAATACAAGAACACTCTGCACCTGCTGACATAAAAATACTAATTGACTGTCACTGGACGGAAATATCTGAAGTCAGTTCTGCTCAAAATGCGGACATACTTCTAACCTCATGCAAACAGGGACTAAAGGCCGAACTCATCGAAGAGATGAATACCAGGTGGGCTTTGGAAACCACCTGTCATGCTAGCAGGCAAATTTGGCCAAAGATTGATGTAAAGCGATCAATAGCTCTCACTCGGCTGGACCGTTCTTCTCTCAGATTATTAGTCGGGGTAATCACCGGACCCCAGACACTGCCGGATACTCCGACACCGATTTTTGTCGCAGTTTCAGAGATGAGGATGACCAACACGCGCAACCAATTCTTTAGCAAGTACCTTCTAGATTATTTAGCCCACCTGAACTCGGCGAACGTCCTTGACTTTTTGTGCTATTAAAAACGCACTCGTTGGTTTAATTACTAAGGGAGTAAAAGAAATAAATGGCTTCCGCCAGTGGTATCACAACGGACTTTTCCATGCCGGCCGGTTTTCATGTGCCGGCCTAAGTAGTTTTCAAAAATGTAGAAAAATTGTCTGAGGGAAATTAAAGGTTAATATATATACAAATAGTAAAGTTTCATAAGAAATATTTTCGTAGAACATTTGACACCTCTTAAACAGCTTCGACTTTGGACGCCAGAGTCGTAATATCCAGCCGCTCACAAATACTTATGCCTATAAAACAGTCGCAAAATTAAGCAGATGGGTTCGTCTTCGTGCTCCCAAAGATGCAGAGAAAGTGCTTGTTCCAACTGCGGGTTCCTTGTTTGAGGCTGTGGAATTCTATTGCTGGTTATTTTTAAGCAGTGAAAAGAAAACGAAAAATTGTACTACTATCCAGATCTCCTTCTTTCTTTCCATAAAACCAGTTCCCTGAGTCTTTTAGCGGACATCAAAGCGGTGTATCCACCGACAAGGTATGCCTTTTTGCTCTCTCATGCTCTCTTTTTAGATTTAATGGAAAGTTGCGAACACCCATCTGATATTAGTTTGAAGGCACTAAGAATAGCAGGCTTTACTTCAGCTCAGTCATAGTCATAACCTCCGGCCAATGCCTGAAGTCAGGTTCTCTTGAGTCGACGTATGAACAGATTTCTGATCAGATTTATGTCGGTACACATTGGCCTCGCAAATTAAAAAAAGGTTAGGTTAAGTCCCGCCTCCTGGACTAAAGAAACCTTCAGGGGGTGTATGGGAGGATGATGGCTCCAAGTTGGAACTGAAGGTAGAAAGTTAGTTTTCATCAACCTGATCTCTGTAGCGTTTTTTATGCTGAACTAACAGTAATCAGCGAAGCTGCAAGGTGGCTGATCGATTCTCTTTTTAGTCTGCATGCGGTAGCTTTCTTTTCTGATAGCTAGGCAGCTATTAAAGCAGTTTACTATTACTACATTTATACGCACAGAATAATCGACTTAATTGAAAGCGCATTGACACCGTACACATTTCGCTCTAGTGTTTATACTTACGGCTTTATATCGGCATCAAAGTAACCGTCTTCAAAAGCAAACAAAATTAGCTGTTTTCATTTGACATTTTATAAGTTAACATAGTGGAAAGTGATAAAAATCTAGTTTTATTCGGCATTATAAAATCGTGGCAAAGAAAAAGAACGATTACTATTAATCAGCTTTTAAATACTGATGTGATTATTTGAAATTTGAGCGGAACAGCTGATCTCCAAATCGCTTTGAGTGAGAGCGGTGTTTATACACTCTTTCTAACTGTCTGGAGAAATAAACTACCGATTTGAAATGGAGTGAGAGCCAAAACACTTCGCTGTTTCAAAGCGAATTGAAATTCAGTTTATACATATGTTTTGAATCGCGGCGAAATGAATTAAAGCGACTTATGCATGCGTATAAACGCAGTATATAACAAATGTACATCGAAGATTGTAATGAAATGTAGACGTACTCCAAACGAGCTGACAAGGAGTTACGTACCTAATGTTGCATGGGTGCCAGGCCATAAAGACATACCGGGCAACTGTGTTGCGGATAAACTAGCAAGGACATGAACCTTACTGTTTGCAATCAGTATCACTCGTAATGCGGGTATTGCGCTATCTTCCTGCAAACTCTGGCTGGAAAGTAACTTTATCGAACAGGCAAATACGAGATGGGTGCAGGATAGTAAGACATATATATGTATCTGGCCTAAGTTGGATAAGCGTAGATTTAGCCCTCGCCTCCGCTTGGAGTGACCACTGCTCCGACATGTAATCGGAGCTCTCACCGGGTACTGCTTTATGGGAACCCACGCTGCTAGAATGGGTTTGCAGTCAAACAACTACGCTCAAAGCTGCCGTGATGAGGGTGAAATCGAAAACGTTGAGCATTACCTATACCACTTTCGCGCTTTGGTGAGGGTCCATCGACGTTCGCTCCTCCACTATTCATTTGAATGTTAGACTGAACTGGATTCAACCAGTATCTAAGACCTTGTACGCTTCATCAGAGCTACAAATTGGTTCCATTTCTAATGTAAGAGTTGGGACGTAAGGAGTATCTAATATGACATCACATGGTGGGCTAAGTGTGCTTTTTTCCTGTGCGGGATGAGGGTAGCTAATACTATAACCTAACCTAACCTAACGCAGCATTATTTAACCTGGCGTTATGTGTTTCAGTTGCTGTCGGGCGATCGACGTAGCCGAAAGGTTACAGGTCGTTAGTATACTAATTTAATCCAGGTCAGCGCCAAATAAATATTTCGTAGCTGATTTTGATTAGTCTCAAAGCAAATCAGGCACGTTGGCTCGGCCACAAAGGTAGAATAAAGGTAGACTTTCCTATTCATAGCCAAGCCCAAGGACCTAATTACACCGGAAAGCTGCAGGGAAGTGTCTTATTAGAGCTTTTGCAGACTGTACGTTTCGATTACTAAGATTGTTCGTACTTATAAATATACATGTTTCAGAAGCACCAACAGTACTTACCGATATAAGTTGATAAGAATGATTCATCATAGCAATAAGTAGATTCAGCAGCACCACAATGTTGATAACGGAATATGTGCCAAACATTAGCATGCCCCAGAAACGTGTGAAAATCTTAATGCCATCCAACTCAAAGCTATCCAAATCGATTAGACCAAACACAGCCCAGAAAAGTGTCTGTGTAGTTTCGAAGAGACTGAAAACGCAAGAGAACAGGAGTAGGATAAATTACAAATACAAATTTTTGAAAGCTGTAAAAGCTTACTTCGAAAAGCGCCGCCAAACGATGCAAGCATTCGGATCTGTGGTGCCGTTCATGGTGATAAGTACATTTGTGGGCGAAACTTCAGGGCAGCGTTTCTTCTCCAAATCTGCGTAGTACCTATTTTGGTTGGTTTATTAAATTTGTTATATCCAACTTCATTTCAGCTTTTATTTTATTTATTTGTCACTCACCACAACAATTGATTCAGACCACTGCCGAAGGCGAATAGTACGAGTACGTACAAAAAGAAAAACTTCATGATATCCATAACCATACGCGACAGGGACACTTGCAGTGGTCCCAAATGTGGATTCACCGAAAAGATGTATACCAATTTGAGGCTACTGAAAATGTTTGCCGCACTAAAGAGGCCTTCCGAAATGAGCATTGGATCCCATGTGTCCCAACGCTCACGCGGCAAATCAGTGGCATGCGGATTAATGATCATTTCTTTTTGCACCTATGGGAAAGCGTGGGAATACAGTTTTTTTAGAAAGAGTTAATATATGCAGAAGATAGAAAACTTTTTAGTTAAAACTAAAAATAACCACCTGAAAGAAAGACACCACACGTAATGCCACTGTGGCCACATAGAGTGAATTCGTTACGAAATCGATGACATTCCACATATCGTTGAGATACTCTTGCAGACCTACATCCCACAGCTGCTTGACTTCGCTCCAAATTAGACCTGAAGTGGAATATTTTTTTTTGTTTTTAAGAAATTAATAAAACGGGACCACAAAAACAAAGCGATGAAAACCTTTTGTTAACCAGACTAGGTGTTTTACTTAATGTTTTTGTGGTCGCTGAACACGGATC